TATTTGGAGTCCTGGGTAGTGATTTTTTTCTTACTTCTTCAGGCTATGCCCTATGTAATTTGCTAATTGATGGGCTTGTCTATAATAAGGCTCAGATGAATTTAGTTTAAGGCTATATTCTGCTGCTTCATGCGTACTTAACTTTATGTGGAAGCTGAAAGGGACTCTGAACATTTAGAGAATTCTGAGGACTTTGTCGGTATTTCTGATACCACTATGGCCCATTCTACCCCCAAAGCCTGGCCTGCCTTCATGCCCAGTCCTTCTAGGCTTCTGGTTAGAAGTGGCCCAGAAATTAAGAATTACATGGTCGGGGTTTAGGAATGACTTGGATTAGTCCTGGAGCTGATCAGAGAGTTTGAGGGTGCCCACAATGAGGGTGACCCCAAATGTGGGCCCCACTTTGCTTCTCCAGATTTTGCCTAACCTGGCTCTGTCCTTGGTGTAGGAACCCGTTGTTTGTCAAAGTGACAACATGAGGCCCCTGAAGGTAGTAAAGAATCTAAGAACAAGCAGAGGTGGGGAAGACCTCCATTTTTCTCAGATTTATGGTCTGCTGTTATTTCCCTATGGGTTTTCTGAAGGACTAGCCGTCTTCTTCCTAAGGAGGTCCCATTTGACTCTGTAAACAAGGTCTTATACACGGGCACCAAATTACTGATTTTTTTCGGATGTGAACAGGTGGGCTTCCCAACACCATCTCCGTCAGCCTGGAAGAGGAGGAGGAGCTGGAGGGCAGAGGGTCAACAGAATTCACGTGCTTCTCAGAGGACATCGTGGCCGAGCAGCTGACCTACATGGACGCGGTACGTCTTCTCTTTGTGTCTCAGATGTGCTTCCACTTAAACATGGGGGAGTGACAGTATTGGTGGCCTGGAGAGCGTGGTGCGGGCAATAGGATTTAAGTCTTTTTGAATCCTTGAGAGAGGCTGTGCCTATAAATGCAGAGTTAAGATGTGACTTGAGTCAGTCATCTGAATAATTCAGGCCTAAGCTCTTCTTGCAAATCTGGGGGAAGGTGCTTTTTACTTGGAGCTCAAGACACAGAGGGAAGTAAGAATTCTAATCCTAGTGAAACAAAATCTACCCTGTTCCACGGGTGTTTCTCTCCCTTCAGACTCAGAAATATTTCAAGATCTGAACTGTTTATTTGGAGGATTGTAAAGGGTCAAAGTATAAGTTAGGATAAAATGAATTCACCGAATCCACATGTGACCCTATCTGGCAGCCCATTTCCACGTGTGCTTCCTGTACTTTTGAAGTTTGAATATTTTTGTTAACTGTACATATTTGATTGTCAGTGACATTTCTTAGCTCAGTGTTAGCTAGTAAGTACCAGTTTCTTTCTTTCTTTTTTTTTTTTAAAGGAGACTTTTAGGAATTATCACAACAGTTTTAGCTCTTCTGCACTTAACAAGTTTTGAGAAAGCAGGAGAGTTTCCATCTAATGAGGATGCAAGTAAGGTATCAGAAGTAAATCAGATAGTCTGTGTGAAGTAAATCCTGGTCTTTTTCTTTTATACAAATCCCTACACAAATTATACTGAATCGTTGTACAAATGAGAATCTGATTTGTTAAAAAACATTTGTCTTTTGGTTCTATGATGATAGCATAAGAGAAAGATGGAAAACTTTGTTGGTTATTATTTTTAGGAAAAGACCTGGAAATCAGGATCTAAATACCTCTTTCTTCCTTCTACCGTGTGATATGGAATAGTTTTTCCTATTATATGTTTTTTACTTTCTTCGTTGTAAAGAATGTGGAACAGTGACATCGATGGGGGGGCATGTGCTGTTCGTCTGTGAGTCACTTTCAGGCAGTCAGTGAGCATCTAGTTGCATTATAGGTAGTTCATGATCATGAGTGCCCACAGTACACCTTGGGTATGATATTGAAGTTAAAATAACCTTAACCACATTTATCTACCCTGGCTTTTCTTGCAAGACAGAAAATTAAAAATGTCTTTAGTCCTTTAAATTTTCTTTTGGTCATTGTGTTCTATTTGCTCGGTTGAGCTGATTTAAAAAGATCACATAGGCTTTTCTGATGCATTAATGTATTAATTATTTACTTTTGTCTGTTGAAATGGACACCATGAGGCAAATCAAGTTGAAAAGGATTATTTGTCTTCACAAAATACCAACGTACAGATGCGCCAGATGACATACTTTGCCGTATAAAATGTCTCTGTTGTCTTAAAGTCAATTCCTCTTTTGCTCTAGCAACTGTTCAAGAAAGTAGTGCCTCACCATTGCCTGGGCTGCATTTGGTCTCAAAGGGATAAGAAGGAAAACAAACATTTGGCTCCTACGATCCATGCTACCATCTCTCAGTTTAATACCCTCACCAAATGTGTTGTCAGCACCATCCTGGGGGGCAAAGAACTCAAAACTCAGCAGAGAGCCAGAATCATTGAGAAGTGGATTAACATTGCTCGTGTAATTGTCTTTTCAAAATTATTCTTTGTGTTTAGTAGATATTAGAGCCTACTCTCATTACTTTGTTTAAATGGTTTAGCCATTTGGTTGGAAAGGCTGTCAAAAGACTCTATGTTGAGGGCCCATTTGGTGGTGGTGGTTGTTTTTGTTATTCTAAAGTAAGGAAAAAAGTTGCCTTTCTTAACTTGGGAGCTTATTTATTTTTCCTCTTAAAAAAAAAAATGTTCCCCCGCTAGCTTCTTTCTCCTGTGGGCCCCCACACTGCTGCTTTTCCAGGGAGAGACATTCTGTCTACTTTTTCCTTTGTGTTTACCATGGGCTGTCAGTCTCTTCCCCACTTTCAGTGAATATAACCAAGGGTCTGCATGTCAAACAGACTGCTTTTCAACCCAAAATGATTACCCATGCCCCCTTCCAGTACCTGGAAGCATTACATCTTCTGCAGATTTGAAGAGCTGGTACCTTCTCAGAATCCTGAATCTCTTCTCTAAAGAACTGAAACACTTAGGCAGATCTCACATCCATCTGAGGCCTTTCTGGGGGCCTCAGACCTGAAGTTGGAGGGCGGAATCTGTTCCTGGGCCTGAATTACATTCTGATGTTCAGTGGCTAGTCTCTCGGTTCAGTTTTTTACATGCTATATGACTTTCATTTATCAGCATCTTATGTCGTGACTGAGGAAATGTCAAAAGTATTCAGTCAGTGGTTACCATATATTTTGTGAGCTCCTGATGTATGTACGCTACAATATTATGTACTTTATGGACATAGCAGGATAGGACACTCTCCGCCTGGGCAGTAGAGGAGTAGGGCTGTGTGAGATGAGTACTGTGAAAGTGGATGAGGGAGAAAGTACTGATTGGGGTGATCAAGGATGGCTTCATGGATGAGGTGACATTTGAATTTAGCTTTGAATAGTAGTTAGGATTTTGGGTATTTGAAGATTCGAGAAGGCATTTTTTTTGTCTAGGCAGAAGAAATTACCTCAGTAAAACAATGATTTTGCAAAAGAATTACTATGTAAATATCCTACTAGTTTTTGTTCTGGGCTACATGGGTCAACCCTCAACCAAAACACATTTTGCTTTATATCCCACTAGATGTGTTTTTCATTAATCCCCTATCTGTAGGTCATAATGCCTAAGCCTTTCTTTTGGTGGCTGGCCTGTTAGAGGGATCGAACCCTGGACCTTGGTGTCATCAGCACCACACTCCAACCCACTGAGTAACTGGCCAGCCCATCCCTAAGCCTTTCGTATTCTCTTTTATTGTTTTTGACTAAAGAGCAAGGGCATAATTGTGCCAGAGAATTTGCCTTGTTTTCCTTGTTTTGAGTCTTTAGGTAGTCTGTCACTACACGATTTTTAGTATATGAAAAAAAAAAAAAATGAACAAGAAACATAAGAATATAAGTTGCATTAGTAACTTACGTTTCTCCTATTCTAAATTGAGCCTATTTCTCAACAAGTAAAAGTTACAAAAGAGGTTCTGATATAGTGTTATATAGCATGGAATTTCTCCATCTTAGAATAAGGAAGTATTTCTGTCATAAGTGCCACAGCATTTACAATCTTTTACACGTCTCAAAAGCAACTGGTCTGTCTACCCAATCCATTCAACTGCTTAGAAAGTCTATAGCAAGAATATCGCATCTGTGTGTATGACATAGTGTGGCTCAAACAGATGACTTTTGGTACAAATTATAAATTAGGCATTTATGTGGTAATAAGAAATACAACTTGAATAATTTGAAGTATATTCCAAATCCCATAGCATATGTGAAAAAGCCAAGTGTCCTTCCTCTTGGTGGTATAATTTCCTAATATTGAATAGGTTGTGTCTCTGGAAATTGTGTAGAGTAACTTAATAAAATAACAAAACTCCCAGGTGGTTTCCTGCCAAGATTTATTTTACTTTTCCTACATTCATCACAGTCAATTTCTGTTGATAGGATGTTTGAAAAATGGTCATTTTATATGCGGAAAAATTGTCTGACTTAATATTACTGTGTTTTCTGGGACTGGTCCTAATGCTACATTTTTACTTTTGCATCACATATCCTAGAAGATACCTTCTTTTCTAGAAATGGGACCAGATGCCTTTTGCACTCCTTTAAACCCCTCGTTTAAACCTCTTTCTGAATAATGTGTTCCATATGTTTATTACAAATTGTGTGATATATCCTTTAAACCCCTCATTTAAACCTCTTTCTGAATAATGTGTTCCATATGTTTATTACAAATTGCGTGATATATCTGTGCCTGAGTTCCTTTATTTATTGCAAGTTTCCTGATTTTTAGAATATAGCTTTTGGATTCTGAACCTTTGCTGAACCATGCTCTCATAGGCTTGGTTTCCAGACTGCAATTCAGAGCTTTTTTTTTTTTTTTTTTTTCTTTCTTTCTGTTTAAATAAGGGGAGGACATTGAGGCATTTGAAAGGGTGGGCATGTCTTCTGTAAAGTACTTCAGCATTTACTGTAAAGAAAATGTTTGAAGGTTTGTTTGGCATAGTTTTCGGTAGCCAGATTTTGGCATGCTAAATTAGCGAATGCTGTTTGCCCTTCGTATTCAGGATTAGCATTACTTCATGAAATGATCCTTGAAGCGATTTGCATTTACGCCCAACCACTCTGGGACCTCTCGCCCTAGATGTTCTGCACAAAGCCAAACACATGCTCACTTTGTATATTAGTTGAAACCCTGGATGTATTACACCCCCACGTGCCCGTATAAGAAGCATCTCCTATGACATAAGGCATAGTCCACTCTCCCCGTGTTGCCACCCTCTCCATGCCAGCCAAGAATGAGGCCTCTCCCTGGCTGTTTTCTGTCACTGCTATGCATCCAGCAGGACTTAGACTCCAAGGTCACTGACTGCTGATGCTACAGGCTCCTTATGGTAGCTTATGTTTAAGCAGGGAGCTTTCTTCTTACCCAGAAAATGACATCCAGAATGTTTCCTGTTCTCTTTCTATTCTGTTTTCAAACACTCCCCAAATGAATTTTATTTTAAAATCCCAAATTATTTTGGAAGCATTGAAGTACGAAGGTGTTTCTGAATGTTTATGGTTGCAGGAAAAGCCAATTTGAAATGAATGTGTATAAAAATATTCCCCATTGGCTAAAAGCATAAAAGCCGAAGTTCAACTTGTGAATTTTTATTGCCAAGTTATATACACCTCTCTGGACAAGGGTTGGTCATGAGATGTCTGATACCATCTGACCTTGACTTGGCTGCTGCCCAGTTTGCTTTGTGGGTCTAAAGGATACAGCGATCTTTCATGTGTATTTTTAGGGTATCTGTGTGCTTTCAGCAGAAGAAAGTTGATTTCTCTAGCATAGGTCTGTGGACTCACCTCCATTAGTGTTTTTACTAGAAAAGCTGGAAACTATAAAACTGTAACAACAACACAAAAAATATGTTGAAGGGAGAAAAACAAGCATACAGTGCCAAAATCTATAAAGTGTTTCAGTGACTGGGGTGGGAGGAAGGAGCCACTTTTTGATGTTCGGTATTTATACAGCTGCCTATTTAGTGGTAAGAATTCATAGCAGCTGTGATACCTCTGCAGCTGGAAACCACCAAGTCACTGTAATATTGATATTTAAATGTCTTTTATGTTTTAATCACACTCCATACAGGAATGTAGAATCCTGAAGGCCATCGTTTCAGCACTGCAGTCTAATTCCTTCTATCGGTTAAAAAAGGCTTGGGCTGCCGTCCCGAAGTAAGTTCCCAAGTGTCTGCTCTACTTTTCTTTGGCTGGGGTGGTTGGTTGCTGCATCAGTGCTATGGGTCCTCACCTTCAGGGCTCATATTATATAACTAGAGAAACATATTTGAAATCCTCTGTGTTTTCCAGGTGGGATGCCTTTTACTCATGATCATTAACGAGTTTTGAGGCAGGGCTGCTGCAGAAATCAAACTCCTCAAAGTGGGACAAAGCCAAGATCATTGGCTTTTGGCATAATTTGAAGGATGTGCTTATTATTTGGATTTGAGAGTTAAGGCTGTGGCGTGATGAAGTTATAGCAATTTGCCTTTACTTCTGGTTGTTTTTCAGCCTCGTTCCAAAGCCCTGAGCTATTCCAGGATGCAAGGGATAATGTGTGCCGATAAGATATTTGTTGTTGCTGTGCAACAGGAAACTATTTAATCCTTTTCTGCCTCAGCATATTAAAAGTTGTCTTAGTGATGTTAAAAAACCTTTTAAGTGTTCCTTCCTAGGTACTGGACTGAAATTACTAACTGGCCACATTCTGTGCTGCTTTTCTCCATATTTCTTCATATGATCTTTAGAACAACTAACCATTTAATTTCCTTATTATTTCACTATTACTATCTCCTCATTTTTCAGAACCTCAGTTGCAAGAGGGGTCTTCAGATAGTTCATGGGAAGATTTTAATTATCTTGTAATTCATTTTTTTGCTCGAGCTTTCTGAAGTATCCCCATAGATTGGAGAACTTTTTGCAAAAGAAGAAAGGGTGAGGGAGGGGGCAGTTCTGGTCCCATAGCAGTACAGATTCAGAGGTTGGCGGTTGTGTTGTGGGCACCAGCTAGGCCAGCTACCTTCGACAAGTCTACCTAGGTTTGAACTAGTCCAGAAGTCAGGCTATATCAGGGAAGAATGTGTAAGCTCTGTATAGTTTGTATTGTATGCATTGTAGTTAGCTTTAGTCAGGAGTGAGGCCAGCTGGCTCCTTAGCCATGGCTGCGCTGGTGGAATTGGTGGGTTTGTCCTCAGAGTAGGTCTGGAGAATCAGTTTCATCAATTCACTCAGAACTGATTAAGCCGTAAGGGACTGACACTATTCAAACTTGTAGGAGACTCATATTGGTAAACCAGCATTTCGTAAATTTGTGCTGAAAAATGAGTGCCAAAGTACTCAAACATATTGATGACTATTATTCAGGGAATAGTCTACTTTGGAAAGTCAAATTATCTATTAAGTAATTCTTTAAGGGGTAAAAAAAAAATAATAATTAAAGTGATGACCTTAATACCTCATGTCACAGAACTGTAGAAGCCACAGGCCACGTGGACTCCAGAGCTCGTGCTTTGTTTATAACAGCGTTATCTATCGGTAGAAGCATATAGGCAGATAGGCTTTTCAAAGTCCAGTGCAATTTTTGATTACCACTCCTGTCTTGGTTCTTTCTCCTCTTTATTATTTTGAACGGTGAAGGTGACTCTGTGTTTGTGAAAGAGAGATTAGTTGATTGATCTTTCTCTGCACATGCATCTTATGAAAGAAATGGGCCGTATAAAATCATTGGTGAAATATGATGGAAAATCAGAAACATACAGTGTCCTCATCATCCACACCCCCACATCACCTCTTCTTCCCCTCATCACAGTGCCCCACCCAACTGTGGTATCAAAAGCAGAGGGATGGTCAGGTTTTAAAATGCAGCCTTGCCCTATTGCCACCTTGTGTGATTGCACTGAAAGGTAATCCTGTCTGTCTTTGGTGGTTGATACATAGAACACTATGGAAAGTCAACTAGGCAGCCTAAGATTTCTTCCACAGCCAGTCTGAGGCCAAAACACAAGTAAAAACGTAGGTGGATTTGTATCTTAGTCTCTTTTGTTGTCATATGAGAATTAAATCATTTAACTTAAATTATTTCAAATTATTAAAATGCCAGCTGGCTTTTAAAAACTATTAGTGCTAGGCCTCTGTAATTAACAATAATTGGTTGTATGTTCTCAGATGGCTAGAAGAGAGGAGCTCAAATGCTCTCATTACAAAGAATTGATAAATTTTTCCGATGATAAATATGCTCATTACCATGATATGATCATCACACATTATTTACATGTATTGAAATATAATTCTGTATTCCATAAATATGTGCAATCAATACATGTCAATTAAAAATAAACTTAAAAAATAAACAGAAAACCCTCAAATCTGCATTCTGTGTAATGTGGGTGTCTAGTTTGTTTCTTGGTTGGCTGGTGGGTGTATGTTTTAGCAGGGACACTACAGAAGTGTCACTTCCTTAGAAAAGACATTTCTACATCAGCTTTACATACTCTCCATTGCCAAGGGACAAAGTTAAGATATCTTATTTGAGTATCGCTTCCCCTATAATCCCTTACATTTCTAGCTTTCAGTAGACAGAAAGGATGCCTATTTATTCTTCTTTATTTGGGGCCACATGTCATTAAATTCTTAATTATTATCTCCAAAATATAAATAGCTTTAATAGTTTTCTTTATTATAAGAGTAATATTACACTCATTGTAAAGCAAACAGGTTTTTAATAATGGCTTTTTCATGGTAATGGAAATGTTGCATATACTTGTACAGTGATACTGCCCCTGTTAATTCTTTGCCTTGAGAATCATGCACTCAGTAGCCCTGGAAGGGTACATAGAGAAAAGTACTGGATGGGGCAAGGGCAGAGCAGGTGCCTTACGTATGTGATCCCACTTACTTTCACAGCAATCCCATGAGGGGTGCTAATATTTACATTGTACAGATAAGAAAATTGAAGCAGCTTGCCCAGGATCACTCAGGAAGTGAATGACAGAGTTGGGATTCGAACCCACCTGCTCTGGCTGCAGAGCCTGTCATGGCTCCACCATTTTGCTCTGAGAGGAAGAACATTAGCCCATGATCCAGAAAATTGGGGTTCTATACCTGCAACTCTTAGCAGTTCCTAGTGGAAACTTGAGCAAATCCCTGGCCCTGACATCTTCATCTCTAAAATTAAGGGCCTGGCCAAGATGACCTCTCAGGTTCCACTGGGCTCTGTGTGTGTTGCTAAGGTAGATTTTTTTTAAAAAAGTACTGAAGAGAACTTGTCCCAGTTGAATGACTTGATGCTCTAATTGAGTATTCCTTTTTAATGATTATAACATGCATGGTTAGAAAATATTCCTCTCTTCTCACAAGGACCCATGTCCATCTTAAAAACATAAAAACCATCCTGCATAAAAAAGTCATTGGCTGGGCCGGCCCGGTGGCGCACGGGAGAGTGCGCCGCTCTCCCGCCGAGGGTTCGGATCCCATGTGGAGACCGGTTCCTGCTCACTGGCTGAGCGCGGTGTGGGCGCTGCACCGAGGGTTGCGATCCCGGTGCCAGTCCCCGGTGTGGGTGCGACACTGAGGGTTGCGATCCCGTTACCGGTCAGTAAAAAAAAAAGACAAAAAGGAAAAAAAAAAAGTCATTGGCTTCATCTGTGCTCATATTGCCCACCAGTCCTGGGATCAGCACAATCCCTCCGTAGCCATAGGTACTGAAGACAGCTAGGCCAAAGGTGTCAGGTTTTTACTAATTCTTCATTTTTAATTTCTTTTTTTTTTTTTTCCTTTTTGTCTTTTTTCGTGTCCGGCAACGGATCGCACCCCTCGGTGCTGCGCCCGCACCTTGCTCAGCCAGTGAGCGGGAACCGGTCTGTATGTGGGATCCGAACCCTCGGCGGGAGCGCCGCCGTGCTCCCAAGCGGTGCACTGTAGCAGCGTGCCACCGGGCCGGCCCTTCAGTGTTAATTTCTTAATCTCTCTTTGTAGGGACCGAATGCTGATGTTTGAAGGACTTTCAGATATCTTCTCAGACCATAATAACCATTTGACCAGCCGGGAACTACTGATGAAGGTGAGGGTCTTGGTGAGAGCACTGGGCAGCAATGCTGATGGCTCTGGAATCCATTCAAGGGAAGAGTAGGTTGAGGGCTCCTTAAATGCCTTCAGCCCCCAGAGAAAGCCTAAGGTGAATAGAAGGAAGAAATTTTGTTATGTAGAATCTAAGAAACTTGTGGCGCAGAAAATTTGAAGTCCAGCTGAGTTCTCTCCTTCTACTCTCCTTAGCTTCCCCCTTCTACTCTCCTTAGCTTCCCCGTTACGCAACCAGATTGTGAAACTTGAGTTTATATGTGTACTTCTTTAACAAGCTACTCTGCAAATACTGAGTGCTAGCAGTTAGGTGGATGAGAGGCCCTGGAATATTCCTTCTCAGCAAAACCTCCTAAAATGACAGAGGCCAAGCCAACAATTCCACATCCTTTATCTGGACTGAATTGCACAATCTGTCAGTCAGCAATATTTATTGAACAGCATATGAGAGCTAACTTTTGAACTACGCTAGGTAAAGTTATAGCTCGGTTCATTTTACTTCTTCAGACATTTGCCGATTGTCTAATATTTGTAAAGTATTGAACCTGCCTATAGAAATAAGATGATGACTGACACATACCTTGTTTCCAGGAGTTCACCATCTAGTTGGTGGCTGGTATAGACACTAAACAATGAGAATAGGTAGTGAAAAAAATAAAAATAAGAGGTTGTGAACAATCAGTCTTCAGCAACTAAGACAGGCCACATGCTATACCCACAGCTTTTCTATAAAGTGGATTTTATCATCCTCATCTTGTGGGTAGCCAAGACCTAGAGAGGGAAGTAATATGCCCTAAGGCCTAAACCCAACCTAGTGAGAGTTGAAAACCTGTGGGGTTTTTTGTTTCTGGCCAGTCCAGGGATCTGAACCCTTGACCTTGGTGTTATAACATGGTGCTCTAACCAAGTGAGCTACCTGGCCAGCCCTAAACCTGTGCTTTTATCATGTAGGCATAAAGTTATTTCTTCTGACCCCTTGGGAGTAGGGGGCAGGATGGATCAGGTGTAGGTTCACAGAGAAGGTAAATCAGTAAGTCAACAAATATTGATTGAGCACTTATGTGCTAGGTGTTAGAGATATAACCATCTTAAAGGGATGATCTTAAAGGGATTATGCCTGATCTTAAAGGGATTACAGTGTCATGGAGAGCAGCAGAAAAGTAGATAATTATAAAATAGTATGATATGTCTTGCCATAGAGGGAAGCCCTGAACTGAGCAATTAGAAGATATGATCCTTGTCTTTAATCTCTTCTTCTCTAAATTGGAAACAATAATAGTATTGGTCAGTTGACCTCATAGAATTGCTTTGAAGATTGACTATGGCAAAATATTGGAAAGCACTATGCAAATTTCAGTTATTTTTAGTATTTGGTGAGTTATACACATATAAAACTGAAGTATGCATAACACATGAAAATGAACAGAGGATAAGCTGCATATTTGAGCTTAGGGAGGATGCTTGGAGTAGGGATGAAGTCGCGTGCAGGTAGGGTTACTAAGAAAAGGCATCCACTTGGTAACTCTTAGATAGTCATTTCTGTGAGGGCATCGGTTACAGTCTTCATGACTGTTCTCCCACGTCCTGCTCATCCTTCGTGTCTCATTAGTCATGGAGTTCCTATCCTATTTGTGTAGGAATTTTAAACATTTCACTCACGGAGGTTAGCAAATTAGACCGTAATAACTTCGTATAGCATACATTATACGAAGTTATACGAGACCTCATAGAATTGCTTTGAAGATTGACTATGGGAAAATATTGGAAAGCACTATGCAAATTTCAGTTATTTTTAGTATTTGGTGAGTTATACACATATAAAACAGAAGTATGCATAACACATGAAAATGAACAGAGGATAAGCTGCATATTTGAACTTAGGGAGGATGCTTGGAGTAGGGATGAAGTCACGTGGAGGTAGGGTTACTAAGAAAAGGCATCCACTTGGTAACTCTTAGATAGTCATTTCTGTGAGGGCATCGGTTACAGTCTTCATGACTGTTCTCCCAAGTCCTGCTCATCCTTCATGTCTCAGTGTGGACTTGCCCTTTTCAGGTCTGATTAAGTGCCTTCCTATGTGCCCCAGGAGAAGCCTGCCGTTCTTCTGCCTTGGCACCTATCACATGTTCTATGGCTTATAAACTTCTTGCAGGCAGAGACTTTACATGTCTTTTTGGCTTTTGTATTCCAGTGCCTGGCATATAGTCGATATTCAGAAACTATTGTTTGACTGCATGAATTTGTGTCTTATCATTCGCATGATTTGGACAATGTGCCCACTGTTAGCCCTTCTTGGAGTTAGATAATATAAGTAGGGCAGTTTATGCTGATGTCTAACTTTGGATTTGGACTACCTGATTAACTGCATACTGAACAATGACTTCTGAGATCATGTTACTCCCTGCTTCACATCCCCCTAGATTTGCAGACTCCCTGCTTCATATCCCCCTAGATTTAGAAACCCATCGGGCTGGAAGGAGATGGCTTAGTGGTCTCCCTGTCAGTAATATGAAGCTAGACTAACTGGAGCCACACATTTGAATCCCAATAGCCCTGAGTCGTCCTTCCAAAGTACATAAATCGAATACCGCGCAGCTCATTGCTTGGTGGCAGTCTTCTGGCTGAAACCTTAGAAGCAAAGCTACATCTAGACATTAAAGATCCCATAAACCTTTCTTAAATGTAGAAGTTTACACCAGTACTGTAAGTTAAATTTCTTTTCTATGGCTCAAATCCCAAAGAAATGAAAAACTTGGCTATGAGTTCATGTGGTCTGTACTTTATCGTTAATGGTAGTGGAAAAAAACTTGGCTATGAGTTCATGTGGTCTGTACATTATCATTAATGACAGTAGAATGCTTTGGGCAGTCCACATGTATATGGCAGGTCTCTTTCCAGTCATTTTTGTTGATCATTCTTCATATGAAATGTGTAATTCTGGGTGTTAATTCTCAGCACAGTTGTGAAAAAATGAAGTCAAGATACTTAGATTCTCAAAAGGAACTCCAGGAAAAACTCCTGGCCTTTGTTACTAATATGTTACTCCTGGACTTATACCAATTTATAGCTGGCTAATAGTAGCATCACTTCTTAGCCTTTTGGCTAAGATCAAGTGTAATGACTGTTAATATCAGATTAATATAGTTGGGTAATCTTAGTTTTAAAAGACCTATCTTCTCTTCTACTTCTGGGTAGATGTAAATAATATATTATTACTTCCATGTTATGGACCAGGTAACATAATAATTAGCAAAAATCTGTGGTTTTCCTTTTAATTGTTGGAGAAATATTTTTATTTTTTCTCAAAGATTTTCTTAAACCTGTTATGTCCTTATGATTTCTGAAACTTAGATAATTTTAAGCAGATGAATTATAGAATTTACAAATTTCAAAACAACAGGAAAGCAGAATGTTACCAAGTCTTCTCGGTTTTGTGACTCTTGGTGGGAATTTTCCCTGATTGAATTGATATAAAAAACTGCTAGAAAGCCCCAGAAATTTGACTCTGGTGGAGACGTATGTTCAGTGAAGCTCCAAAACATGCTAAAGTCAGAATTGGAGGGAGAGACTGTTGGAACTGTGAAGACCTAGTCAAATAAAAATTATCAGTAGCTTCTGAGCTGTCATTTAAGCAGCATTTACTGAGATGGATCTAGTGCCGAGTAGACAAGAACTAGTAGCCGAGGTCCCTCTAAGGCCCAGGAACAGTAC